GGAAATTTTTCATTGACCATGCTGTAATCACATGTCTTAGCTATGGTTGTGACGCAGTCCACTTGACTTGAATGTGGTGTGGATGGCAATCGGCACGACCTACCAACCATAAAAAGCTTTGGCAATATATTCAAATGTGTCTGCTGCCCATGTTAACTAGCCAGTTGGCAGTAAAAACATTGATCAACCACCTGCTTCCACATTTGTGAGGCTAAATGCTTTCCTCTGTAGGAATGCCACATTTTAGAAAGAATGTAATTTTCACTACTTACCGCCTTCCTTGACATCCCTTTAAAATGTTCTGAATGCCCGGTGGGTGGGAAGGATTGGCCACAATGTCACTACTGTGATTGGCTTTCACAATAGTCACATGATCAGCAGCCAGTCCTGCTGACTACTGATCAGTGGTGTATTTAGGTTTTGTGCCACCCTAGGCAACACAAAAATCGTCCGCAACCCCCCCCTTTTCAAAGGGAGAGTCTAAAACCAGCCAACACCATCCTGCCCCCCAACTCCCCACCCCCCTACCTGAGAAAGCCTTCCACTACCACAACCCTCCATACACTGGCCACCCCCCAATGAGAGAGAGAAAGACACTCATCTGCACAGCTTAAGACATTCCCTGGAATGAGAGTCAGACTCTTCATACACCATTAAGTGTCCTTTCTTCTAGGGAGAGGTGCTGCCCCCCTGAAAAATGCCGCCCTAGGCAAATGCCTTGTTTGCCTTGCAGTAAATACACCCCTGCTACTGATCATTAGCGGGGATCAAGAGTTGCCTTTGACAGCTCGGTGTCTGTGCTGGGAGTGTGCAGTGAGTGCGCTCTCACCACACAAACATCGGCTTCTCAGTGACACATAAATAGGTGTGACATGTGAGCATTAAAGCCCACCCTTTTGCTGCTGTACATATGTGTTACACGGGCTGCAGCAGGTTAAGAGTTCTTGCATATGGGAGCCTGAGCTGATTCAAAGTAAAAGGGTGTTTTCTCACTGCTTTGCTGAAAAAGCACATTAAAAAACCCATATGCAGTTTTGATGTGTTTCTGGTGCATTTTCTGGCTGCCTGATTCCTAGCATGGACATGGACATGTGACTCAAAAAACACACCAAAAATGCAACATTGGTCCTTTTTGATGTGTTTACCATTCATTTCAATGCGGGGGGGGGGGGGGGGGCTGAGTTTTTGGTGCACTTTGGAAAAGCACACCAAAGACACAGCATGCAGGACTTTTCAAAATGCTCTGCACTCACAGCACAGTAGTGTGAAGTATCCTATCATATTTAAAGAGAAATATTTTTATTGCGTTTTTTCTTGCATTTACAGCAAGGTAAAAACACATCAGTGTGAAAGGGCCCAAATTCCTGCATTTCTTCGCCCACCACATTGACATAAATGTGAACAAGTAGATGCTACGCCCAGAGATAATCCCCACGGATATCGGTGCTCTGGCTCTGTGTACCTTCCCAGCACAAATGCAACTGAATGATGAGGATTGGTATAGCCGGCACTCGTCTTCCTGAATAATAAACTTTATTGAGCGAGTAAAATGTGCATATAAAATGGTTTACGCATTTCGGCAATGCGCTTTAGTCATATTATTCGGAAAGATGAGTGACAACTATACCAATCCTCATCATTCCATTGACATAAATGGCTGTGTATGGCTGGCCTCTGGATACTAACGGAAACATGAATATAAGTTATGCAAAAAAAAAAAAAAACATTTACTATTTATGACATAGAGTATGAATGTACATTATAGAATTGCACTGCCATATAACCCCGGAGTACAGCCATTCATGTCAATGGGATGGAGAACCCAAAATTTACAATGAATGGGCTCAGACACCCATGTGCAAGAAGCATCAAAAAGACAAAAAAGGGGCAAACCAGCCTTGTGTATTATCCTTAAAAAATATAAAACTTTTCTCTTTTAAAATAAATAAAAAAAACAACAAAAGTGTCCAAAATATCAAAACAATCCCCACAAGTGTAAACAATTGTTCAGCAAAATCTCTTTTTTCTTCTTTCAACCACAAGTCTCTTTCTCAACACCCGCAAATTCTGATGACAATATACCTCAAAAGAAAAAAACTCAACATAGTGTCATACCTTTTAAATAATAAATACACAGGTGCCACTCACTGTGCAACATGCAATAATACTGTGAGAGAAAAAAAAAAAAAAAAAATATATATATATATATATATATATATATATATATATATGTGTGTATGTGTGTGTTAATCTATATGCGAATATCTACATACACGCATATATTTTTAAATGTTTCTCTGTGTAACCAAATTATTTATAAGTGAAACACTCACACATCGTGTCCACTACAAAATCTGTGAAAGCAACTCAAGTATATCACTGCAAATGTGTATAACCACACTCTATATTCATCAGTGATCACCTTAAACCCTACACACACCCAAAACCAACACTCTCCAACTCGTGTGCTGATGGATAATTACCCTATATATAAAATGACAGGGCATAACACAATTCTGGGTTAACTTCTTATCAGTAGGGTTGCATCCAGTATTAGGGTTTTTCTTCCATTATCTGCGGATATTAATAAAAATGCTAAATAGTTCTCTTTCCTGAGGAAAATGTAGCTTCAGGGCTCTCTTCAGTGCTGACAACATGGGCACATTTTTATTATTTAAAAGATATGACACTATGTTGAGTTTTTCTCTTTTGAGGTATATTGTTATCAGAATTTACGGGTGTTGAGAAAGAGACTTGTTGTTGAAAGAAGAAAAAAAGATTTTGCTGAACAATTGTTTACACTTGTGGGGATTGTTTTGATATTTTGGACACTTTTGTTGTTTTTTTTATTTATTTTAAAAGAGAAAAGTTTTATATTTTTTTTGTTTGATTAGCCTTCAAGGGTGGAGGTGGATGACTTTTCTGGGATATTATATGGAAATTTTGTGCTGTGTATTTGAATATATTTGTGTATTATCCTTGCCACCATTTATTAATAAAGAAATAAAATAACACTCACAAAAGAGTTGCAAACCCCAGCCTGAGAGCAGCTCTAAAACTTTGATGTTCAATAACTGGACCTGGACGACACATCTTGGCAAAAGCGAGCTTACATGTTTCGAGGGGTATACCCTCTTCTTCAGAGCGAACTTGTCAAGTACCTTTCAGCATTTATATTTTTCACATGCACCGAGAGCTAATGGCCTGTGTGCAGGAATCCTAAGATGCCTCCTAAGATTCTGCTATTCAGCACAACTTTTCAAGATCGAATTTTGGAAACAAGTTCAACTCTTGAGACCTCCACATTGATCACACCAAGGAAACAGGACATAGAAAAATATTTTATTGCACATTTATTTTTCTATAACCAGAAGTGGCGAGATACAAAAAAAAGCCTCCCCTTCCTTGTAAATAAAACGTTTCATTTCTGTCATTTTAATTGCCACCGCAAGCCCTCCAAATGTGAAAGGAGAGATATTGGCTCTCAGCGTCCACTTAGAGTCCTGTTAAGGATGATGTTTTGTGGATTTAGTGTTGCAGACATTCTTTCTGCTTGATAGCTTCCCTGTAGAACCGTGCCTGTTGTTTTGTCACTGCCACTTTGATAGATAAAAAAGCAGCATGTGTGGATACGGGCCATTGCTCTTGCTGCTAATAACCTGCCAGGTGAGCATCAAACATTGTAACAGCAGAATAACGATGACTAGTTTGGGTGGAAAAACTCAGCAACATGTAGGAGAAGATCCTCTTCTTCGTAGCCTACGCTAAATTGCAAGCGGAGGAGGTTTATTCAAGACAATATTGGTTTTACCAGCTTTAAGTGGTACTGAAAAGGAGGTATTATCCAGTAAGACTTTCCGTGAGGTCTATTAAAGCTGAACGCCAGCCTTACATTCAGTCTCACACAGCTGTACAGACTTCCCTACTATACTGAAATTGCTTACTCCATTTGTACTGCATACTCTAAGCTTCTCATAGTGTGCATTAGAAGCTGCAACACGTCAAATAGAGCTGTCTCATTTTCTGGCTGGAGAACATCCAACACCTTCTGGCCTTTTCCTTGGAAGCTTGATTGCTCCTAGCCCACACCTTTAATCCATTGGATTTCAGTTATTTCACACATGGAGGTACAGCTGGCATTACCTAGGGCAGTCTGGATGAAAGTGAGTCTACCTAGGAATGCCCACTCCCCCAGATTGATATCCCCTTATCACATGTTTAGATTTAGAACTCTCAAAAGCCAGTCCTACTATCAGGGCTGAGAGCTCTTGACAGGAGTACTGAGACAGGATGCTATGGAATTTTCATGAAGCTATGAACAGCACCCTGTTGGCATCTCCCATCAGCTATGGTCTACCTTCATTGTATAGAGAAGCACAGAGATGCAGTGATGATGTCACTGGGTCTAAGTTGAAGATGAACTCCAGGAAATGTAAAATTTCTTCTTTGCAGTGTAGCTGCACCCACAGCACAGAGCTTAACTGCTTATTTAGGTCTAGGGGGCATGGAAAAGCAGATTTACTTACACAATTCTTTGCTCCGGCAGGCAGTCCATTGTGCCTTATGCTGTAAGTCCCTTCTCCCTTTTGTCTTTTAAATCTTTTCCATTATGCTCTGGTCTAAGGTTCCCCTGACATTATCAAAACTGATATGGGGACTATAATCCTACATTGGATATGAGGATGCTGAGGAACAGTCAATTGCTGGAGCATGGGGAAGCTTCGTCTGCTGGTGAAGTGGAGAATTGGGTAAGCACGTTTACCCCTAGATGGTACAACCCCACTGAAAAGGGGATTTTCATTTTTCTTGGAGTTGGTCTTTAAGCTATGTAATGAAAACACAAAGGTTTTATTTAGAAATGTCATTAATGATGGGGAGATGGGGGAACCTAGGAAGGCAAAACATAAGCAAATTACCGTATTTTTTGCTCCATAAGATGCACCTGACCATAAGACGCACCTAGGTTTTAGAGGCAGAAAACAGGAAAAAAAAATTCTGAACTAATGGACTGCAGACATAGTACAGGAGATGACCAGAGACTGCGGACATAGTACAGGAGATGACCAGAGACTGCGGACACAGTACAGGGGATGACCAGAGACTGCGGACACAATACAGGGGATGACCAGAGACTGCGGACACAGTACAGGGATGACCAGAGACTGCGGACAGTACAGGGATGACTGCTGACCTTTGGGGAGGTGGGGAGCGGGTACCTGAATTTGACAGGTACCCGCTCTTACTTCCGCAGAGTTTTTCTTTGATATTACCTGTTCCTCTATCCAGCCGCGCGCTGTCTACCCGGCTTCTGTAGTGTGGGCGCTCGGCGCGCATGCGCGAGAAGCGCTGCGCTTTGTGATTGGTCCGGCGGCTTCTGGGATCTGTCATGTGTCCCAGGTACCGCCTTACCAAAGAGCACCGCTTCTTGCGCATGCGCACTTGGGACCCGGCTGTCACACACACAACAGAAGCCAGGAAGACAGTGCGCCGCTGGATAGAGGAACAGGTAAGATCCCACTGCAGAGCTGAGCGGCTGGCCCGGTATTCTGACACGGCGGCGGTGAAAATACCAGACCGGCCGCTCTATATTCGCTCCATAAGACGCACTGACATTTTCCCCCCTTTTTTTGGGGGAAAAAAGTGCGTCTTATGGAGCGAAAAATACGGTAGACTATGGCTTTATTTCCTTACTGGTAAAAAAAAAATGCTTATAATGAGAACCCAGCCAGCGGACAGACTGTACAAACCTACAAATCTTCTGAGATGGGATACATTATAGCATAAGGTATGCAGGCAAAGGCCACCCCCACCCCCTCTTGCCTTTTAATTAATCACTGAAGTGGACCTTAACTGTATCTGAGCATCCCAAACTGAAAATGCTATTTAATACATTTTTAATATTCAAAACAAACACCCCCATCCATCCCTGTCTCCATGCTTTATTTATTGAGAAAGCTCTTTGAAAAACACCCCCTACATTTCCAGCCCCGGTCATCTTCAATAAAGGCAGATTATTCATGTAGCATTGACTTCCTGGAAATCATCTACCCTTAGCTCAGGCACACAGGCAGGGGGTGTGTTTAGCTGAGAAAGCCCCTCCTCCAGATGAAAATTAAAAAATGCCCATGAAGACTCCTGGGATGTATGACATAATTTTAGCCTAGGCCAGAAACCAGGAAGCAACTGAATACATTTAAAAAAAAAAAACATTTAAAACAAGTAATTGGGCACTCATACATGTTATACTTTTTACCCCAGCATTAAATGAATTTCAATTTTATCTGTTCCTGGGCTTGTGACTCTATTGACTTCCACAGGGTTGGGAGCGCTCCTTTATTTGTTGTTTTGTGCTCATGTCTCATTGCTGGTCGGATGAGTTATTGGAGCTGCTCATACTGTGGTTATCTACATATCCCCTGAAACCTCACTACGCTTGGTATTTGCACCTTGAACAAGTAATATCGTCCTATCTGTTTACTAATCCTGCCAGCATAAGGATTCAAAATAGTTCATGCTTATTGAGAGAGTTTATTTCTGCTTTAAGAAATAAAATTGGCTTAATCTACAAGTGTTTTTTTTTACCACTACCTTTTCTTTATACTGGCTTTTCAATATATTAAATGCAATTTTTGGTTGGAAAAAATGAAGTAGCAAAACTCTGTTTCCTTCATTCTCCACACAGTAGGTTTGGAATGTGTCCTTGGTCAAGCTGTACACAGCAGGGCCCATTTTGTTTTCCTTTTTTTTTTTCCTTTTATGACAGATTCTTATTAAAGTTCTTATACTTACAGTGAACATATCCAAATATAATGATTCTAAAGGCAACCATAGATCACTTCTAAATTGTGACTATTTTTAAAACACCAAATCGTGGCTTAGAATTATGAAATTTTAATGGTTTCCAATTATGTTAATTGCTATTCATTAGTGATATTTTCAAATGTTTATGTATAAGTTAAACAGAACCAAGAGAAATTACTAACTCGCCCCTTTGGCCCATAATTGTGGGACTCATTTTGTCTAAAAGGCTAGATATAAAAAATGTGATTCATGGTTTTCTCATGCCGTGTGACAGTTCCCACTCTACTTGTCTGTTATTGGCACAGATTTATTGGATGGCTTTACCTTGCAATTGTTATGGTCTCTGGTTGATGCCATCAGTAGGCTTTGGATGGTCAAATTTCTGTGTTAAATCTATGATTAGGATAGGCATTTAGGATATGTTATGCCAAATTGCATATAACATGACATAGCGGTGAGCAAATCTGCCTGAGTTCGGTTTTCAAACCTTGCTCAAAGTTTGGAAAATTTTTAGCAAAACCTTTTGAATTCAATAGGGGAAGGGGGGAGGGGGGTTGTTATTCAATTCAGGTAATTTGTGGGGCTAATGTTAAGCTATCGTCATGGGATGCCAGACACTGCCATGGCAGACAAGCACCAATGCCAAAATTAAAAACATTTACTATACACAATAGTCAATTCTTCCCAATAGCAACACACGCTAACAATATGATTGATTTAAGCCCACTGTTTTTATAATTAGGGGTTGGATTTATCAAATCCTTCAGATTATTGGCTCTTGTGACTCAGCAGACTAGGGAGCAAAAGTTATGCACTACGTTATGTGTTGTTCCTTATGTCTGGTGGCTAACCTAAACAGATTTGAAGACAAAAGTTGGCTATTTGTGAACCCTGGGAACTTGCCACAATCCTATGGTAGTTGCAAACCCAAACCTCATCCCTATTATTAGATTATCAGTCACTGCTGTCTGTTGTCTGCCGGTATGTTGGATATAAGTATGCTGTGTACATTCAATAAAGCTGTGGCCTTACCCAAGCAGGTTGGGTTTTTGTTTGGTATGGCTGTTGTTATAACTATTCATCACAGTAGGGCTGAGAGGGCAGAGATATTGAAGATCAAAACCAAGTACATTAAACATCATAAATAATACAATAGAACACAAATTATTTTTGTTGGAATATTATAGCCATATCTTTTATTAAATAAAATATAATTTAGACACCAACTCTTCAAAAACATACAAGAATCCAAACCATTAAACCCAGGTCCTTGACAGTGTCACCCAATAACATGTTCCTTTGGAAATCCATTGCCAGCCATTCACAACTAGCTTGGTGGGTGCACACCAGTAATTTTACACCTTTATTTGCCTGGAATAAACTCAGTAAGTACTTCCTTCATGAACAGCACATAATTATACATATTTGTGACCATTAAGATTGAACCAGCTGTCCAACATTACCAACGATCTTATTTTTGACACTATCAAAGACCTGCCAATGCTGTGACAATAATACAAAATGTCCCACAACACCCCTATTCTCTTCTCAACCCTCAGTTACCCAAACGTATGCACGGCTAATCATATCCATACTCACACATCTACTAAGAGGGTGGGCTGGTAGGCCAAATTGCTCACCATGCTGTCTGTTCCTCCTCCAAGTTTCCCTAAGGACCACCTCCTCCCTGCTCCCTACATCATATCTTTAAACCATTCCCCACCCATTCTTAACCCTTATCCTGCCTTCCAGCCCACCCTGTCATTTGCCCTAAGTGCTCAGGGCAGCCCCGATGTACATCAATCTTGTACACTCCCATATAATATTTCTACTTGTGTACTGTACAGACCAGGGGCGGACTGACAACTCATGGGGCCCCCCGGGCAATAGGGGATCATGGGGCCCCTGTGTCCTTGCCTACTCTCAAAAAGCCTATAAAAAAGGTACCAGGGGCATTTCATGGGACCCCCTACTGACCCTGGGCCCTCGGGCAGTGCCCAAGTGCTCGAATGGTCAGTCTGCCCCTGGTACAGACTAAGGAACAGCTTTACCTAACGTTCTGAAGAATCCATCATGTTTAATGGCAAATTGCTGAAGAAAGAGGTTACAAAGCACGGCTGTCAGCATTTTCAAGATCCAGTCAAGATACAAATTATATGCACAGTTCCTGCAACAGACTGCCTTCTGTATTTTGATTAATATTCCCTCTAACTATGACAATATAATTTGCATAGTCTACTTATGTGGGCAAGATTAAATTACTGGCCATGAATACTGATTAGGCTAATATGATTATTGTAATCAATAGTTCTTGATTTTCTCCACTTTATTTAACTTCTTGAATTATATTTCCCATTAATGTATTCTTTCAGGGATTGTTTCGGAGTTCTCTGTACAAGCAGGGATAGGAGCTTTTTTATATGGTTCTAGGAAAGTGAATATTGCTCTTTGTCTGAATTTAGAACAGGGCCTAGACTTGTGAGTAGATTACAGAGGCCTAAGTCTATAGTGCCAGGATAGACAAGGTCATGACCAGACCTCAGCACCAGGTTCAGCCTGGTAATATGCATCCCAAGGGACTCGATTTTTAGGCAAATACCTTAAAAATTATACTTTTAATAGCGCTTTAAAAACCTGTTGATCCTGTCAGAAATCCAGTGAGTTCATATACTTTCGTGCACTCTGTAATGCTAACTCAGTGTCATCAACTCTACGCAGTTTACCTCTGTGGACTGCTAAGCACCTGCTGCCTGTTACTGAGATAACTAGAGGGAAGGTGCTCTGTCTTCCAAATTTCTGGCAGGATCACCAGATGAAAATAAAGGGAAAACTAATGTAACCACCACACTTAAGCACTGGTAAACTGCAGTGTATTAAATGTTTGTTCTAGGGATTATATACACTATAAAGGGAACTTGTTAACACTGAAATATGAATGCCACTGCAAACATTTTTTTTAGGTGCAAGCTCTGGAGCTATCACCTTCCTCCATCTTTACTTGCTAAGGTAGGCCATACATTAACCATTTTCTTTTAGGCTGAACGAAAAAAAATTATCCAATTCCCTCTTCTACACATTCAAGGTGGATGGATGAATCCTCCCCACTGAGCCTTTGTATTCTGACAGCGGGGAGACTTCAGAATACCATGATCAGTGCTGCTAGCTATAGCCAGTGGCACTGATTCATCAGGAACAACCTGACAGACTGGGTGTACAGAAGTCTATAGGTCCCTGCTGAACCAATCGATTTTCGATCCATGTATAGCAGGCTAAAGCTTTAAATATCTTGCCAATGCAATTGACTCTGAGTTGTATAGTTAGTACAAGGTCATTGGCTCACTGTCACATGAATCAAAGATAAAAAAGACTAAATGTCTCTTCCACAAATGAGTCAACACTAGCAGGTTCTTTAATGCCAACAGGTGCTCTTCAGAGAAGAATATCCAACTGTATGCTACAGGCAACATTTCAATCAAATTAGTCCATTGTGATAGCATGTCATGCTGTACTAGTTCACATCCAGTGAATCTGCTATGCACTCTCAACCTATAAAACTGGATACATAGGGGTTGGTTTACTAAAGGCAAATAGCAAATAGGCTT